TTTATAAATATCCACTATCTTCTCACTCGTCGTTGATAGTGGGGCAATACAGGGTCCTCCCCCGGTCTTCCTCTTGTCCAGCCGTCTGGTGCATATTTGTCCATTTTGTTTTGATTTCCTTTGTTATTCTCTGGCAGACTCCGAGGGCGTTAATTTTTGCTGTGATGTCTGCCCAGATTGCTTTTTTTCCTTTCGTGGGTAACTGTGCTGCATAGCTTGCTGTTTAATATTGAGATATGTTTCTCAACAAGCTCCGCCAGCAACTGAACTTCAGAGCTGTCGAAATTATTGTTTCTGTTACGAAATTTAGTCGGTAAAGATGCCATTTTGACAGACGACAGGAAGTAACGCGTACTTGTTTACGTTTAGGGAATTGTGGGAAATATTTAGGGGACTCCCCGAAAGTAATGACAACATTAACATTAGAACGTCATTAGATAATGATACGCTAATAAGTGTTTGATACAACCGTTTTTAATGTTGCCATTAACTAATGATACATTAAGGATTTAATGGAAAATAAATAGAGCATTTGTTCTTTGATGTGTTCCCTTATCCGTTTCCATCAATATGCAGGTATTACCCTTCCACAATAGGGAGACGTCACAGCTAAGGTCTCTTTTTGTGTCTTCTGAAATTATTACATTTCAAAGTTCTATACGCTGCCATATAGCTTGAATATTACGGCGTAAAACTAAACTCACTCACTCACTCACTCAAAGTACTATACGCTGCCATATAGCTGGAATATTGCGGCATAAAACTAAACTCACTCACTCACTCACTAAAAGTTCTATACGCTGCCATATAGCTGGAGTATTGCGGCGTAAAACTAAACTCACTCACTCACTCACTCAAAGTACTATACGAATGTTAAGAGAGTGACTGTACTGTTTCTTTTACATGTAGACCGCTTGGTCTTGCGACATAAGCACAGAGGATTCTCCAATATGAATGAAGAAGGTCTATGTTGCACGTGGTGGTGGCGCGTGGTCCTGTGCTCAAAGCTCATTCACAAATCGGCGAAGTTAAGCAGCGTCGAGCTCGGAGAGAGTCCTTGATGGGTGACCGTGTTTGGCAGCTTGACTCCTGAGAGTTTCTAGGACTTGAGTCCTGCCCCACAACGAAGCACATGTGACACATGTGGTCTCACCTTAGGCAAGTGAGTTTGTTCAAAATTGTCTCTGTTCACCCAGCAGGAAAATGGGTACCCGGTGGAAAAAGTCATATGACTATAACCTTCTAGCGCCTAACAGGCAGCTTGGGTTATCCGGGGTAATAATGTGCTGTGCCTTGATTGTTAGAGCTATGAGCATACCTAGTGTGGAGTTTGGCGCTATATAAATGGACACATTATTATTATTATTACTTCAAGGGAAAACCTAATCACAAAAATACATTTTTCCGCATAATGTTCTTATTTGCACACGCCTCCTTGCTAAAGCCTTTTTCGTCACATAATTCCCCTGTTCAAATATTAAAATATCAGAAAATCTCTTCCGAAATATGGAGTGTTGGGCATCGTGAAAACTCATCGATATACTTAGATTGTCATCAGTCCTATACAACATGGAAGAGTTGAAAGAACAAAGTCTAATCCTCAAAAGAACTTTTGATAACGTTAATAAAGAATTCTGAACGTTATTGTGAGCGAGTTTAGTTGTTCCAATTTTTTAAATTTGACAGACCCCAAAGGCTGGTGTAGTACGTTGTTGTTTGTTCTGTACGTACAGGTGTAATAACTGTACAAGAGCAATAATTCAAAGCATGTACTCAACTTAGGGTAGTGTTACACCGAACCGCGACCCCGCTACGATCGTGTTACGACCATCGCGATCGTGAACTGGCAGAGGGTCGCGGTGAGTCGTTCCTTTGATCGCCACTTGCGGTTACACAAAAAATCATTTGCGACTGAATTGCGACTGAATTGCGACTGATAACAGAAAAATTCCCCTGTTTTATTGCGACCTGATAATGAGACCGCTCTCATTGGTCTCAGAGATCTCAATCGGGTCTTAATAGAGTCGCTTCTAGTTTACGAGTTCGACGAGTGCGACGACTTTGCAACCTGTAACGAACAACGAGCCCTGTGGCGATCGTTGTGATCATCCGCGATCACTGCGAGTGTTTGTGATCTTTTATGCAACCGAATTGTGAGTCTGTTACGATCAATGAGACCTAATTGAGAGTGCATTGAGACTTGTGCTATCTTATTGCGACCACTTTTGAGACCTCTTGCGACTGTTTTCTGTCGCACAACCTTTTTTTTATAGTCAAAAACACTCGCAAACCCCTTAGAGACCGATGGAGAGAAACTGCGACCAAAGAGATCATGTTTGAGACCATGGAGACCGCGTTGAGACTAATTTACAACCGTACTGCGAGTCTTAGCGAGTGATGGCGAGCAGAGGCCAATTTTCGGTCGTAAGCCAGGGAGGCAATGGCATAGAATCAGTACCCGGATGATCCGGTTTAGAATTGATCTTCAGCAACCCATGCTTGTTGTAAGAGGCGACTAACGGGATCGGGTGGTCAGGCTCGCTGACTTGGTTGACACATGTCATTGTATCCCAATGCTCATGCTACTGATCACTGGATTGTCTGGTCCAGACTCGATTATTTACAGACCGCCGCCATATAGCTGGAATATAGCTGAGTGCAGCGTTAAACAACAAACAAACGGCATCGGCAATGTCATTCACTGTAACCATCCAATCCACATTTGTCACACATTGGAAGACATTGATAACGGTCTATGATAAAGGATCATACACAATCAGCACAGTGAAAAGGGATAGAGCAACAGTGGACGGTGACAGACAGTAAACCACCGTACCCGATGACTCGAAATACTTTCGTCTACTCTTAGACGTACTGCTCTGGTGAAAATACATTTTACCTCCTGAATGTCGAAGTTTAGTAGTGAACCATGGGGTTAAACAACATCTGGTAGTCGGGATTGTGGGGTTGTGGGTTGGAGTGGCGCAAGAGGTTGGCACTCTTATACAACGCCAACATTCGAAGTGGAGTGAGTGAGATTGGTTTTACGCCACTTTTAGCAATATTCCTGCAATATCGCAGAAGTGGACACCAGGGTTTCACACATTGTGCCCATGTGAGGAATCAAACCGGAGTCTTCGGCGTTACGAGCGAACACTTTGCCCACTAGGCTACCCCACCGCCCCTTCGAAGTGGAGCGAAAAAGAAGTTAATTGCTGAGATATAACATGGTTGTATGATATTTCAGAATATATTTCTTGAGTTTAAAAACCCAGTGCGGTCAATCAGGTGCCCTTCACGTCGAATCATGAGGGGTGCGGCAGGTTGTAAGCAGCTCTAGAACATTTCTATTTCAAGGAGTTGCAACATATCTACGGCTAAGTAGCCATCTGTGTTTTCCAAATCCCGTTATCATAAACAAGTTTAATCTGTAATCTACGTGTGCACCAATCCACCTGGTACCAAGGACCAGCGCTGATAAACGCTGCCCAGTTTGCGATCTACGTTTTCTGACAATCCCACATGAATGAGTCAACCCAACCCAGTTTGTAAACTCTTTACGCAGATGAGTAATTGGCTTGCTTAACGTTTTTCCAAATAGCTATTTTTGTATAATTTACTCCAAGGAAACCGTCCATCATATATGGCTGGTGTGTGTGAAGGAGAGAACTACATGAATCTAAATCCAACTGATCGATCCAAGAGAAGAACAGGTATAATGGGCAGAGAGAGAGAGAGAGAGAGAGAGAGAGAGAGAGAGAGAGAGAGAGAGAGAGAGAGAGAGAGAGAGAGAGAGAGAGAGAGAGAGAGAGAGAGAGAGAGAGAGAGAGAGAGAGAGAGAGAGAGAGAGAGAGAGAGGAGGGAGGGAGGGAGGGAGGGAGGAGGGAGGAGGAGGGAGGGAGGAAGAATCCAGTCATCAACCATCAACAGCAAGACCACCCGATCCCGTTAGTCACCTCTTACGAGTATGGGTTGCTGAAGATCAATTCTAACCCGGATCTTCACGGGTCGTGTCGTGTCGTGACGAACATATGGAAGGAATAGGGTTTTAGCAATATTCCAGCAATATTACCACAGGGACATCAGAAATGGGTTTCACAGACTGTACCCATATGGGGGTCTTTCGCGTTTTAGCGAACTCTTCAAAAAAAAGCTGGAATAATGCTGAGTGCTGCGTAAAACTAAACTCACTCACTCACTCTTCACGACACGTGGTTATGACGTAGAAATACTGTAAAGGAGCGTCAAACCTGACTCACATTCGAAACATGATCATCATAATCTGGCACAACTAAGGCCCGCTACTCTTGTGGGGGATCCTTACGAAGGGTAACAACTAAACGAAATTCAAACGATGAAAGTCTTATTTAACGGCAAATCTTCTCTACCTAAAGTGAACATGTTTGTGTAATTAGAGTTAGTTGTATGATGTGGAGTTAGCCGTAATGTAGTAATGTAGATATGTTGGTGCCATTAGAGTAAAGCTTATGAGGTAGAGCTACGTCCCTTAGCAGCGCAAAGATCCCCTGGTCTTGTCAATGAAATAATCTCTCGGCTATGGAACCATCGTTTTGAGAAGCGGAAATTCTCAAATCAGGTAAGAGGGGCGGTGGGGTAGCCTAGTGGTTAAAGCGTTGGCTCGTCACGCCGACGACCCGGGTTCGATTCCCCACATGGGCACAATGTGTTAAGTCCATTTCTGGTGTCCCCCGCCGTGATATTGCTGGAATATTGCTAAAAGCGGCGTAAAAACTAAACTCAGTCAGTCAGTCAGTTGCTGTTTGTTGGGGCGGTGGGGGTAGCCTGAGTGGTTAAAGCGTTGGCTCGTCAGGCCGAAGACCCGGGTTCGTTTCCCCACATGGGTACAATGTGTTTAGCCCCTTTCTGGTGTCCCCCGCCGTGATATTGCTGGAATATTGCTAAAAGCGGCGTTAAACTAAACTCAGTCAGTCAGTCAGTCATATCAGGTAAGGAAATAACACTATAACAGAACATATATAGGTTGTTGAAGCAGCTTTATTCATGAAAGTGACATCTATTTACCAACGGAAACCGGAAGACCGAAGGCCTTATAGTAAAGCTGAAATAATAAGGATTTGTTTCGTTTAGAATTGACGTGTAAAACATACAAATTGTTGCACCTAATGTCGGTAAAACCTAGTGCCATAAATGATAAAAGATATGAACTGAGATACCAATAGGGTGAGTGAGTTTAGATTTACGCCGCACTCAGACATATTCCAGCAATATGGCGGCAGTTTGTAAATAATCGAGTCTGGACCAGACAATCCAGTGATCAACAGCATGAGCATCGATCTGCGCAATTGGGAACCGATGACATGTGGCAACCAAGTCATCGAGCCTGACCACCCGATCCCGTTAGTCCCCTCTTACGACAAGCTTTGGTTACTGAAGGCCAATTCTAACCCGGACCTTCACGAGTCAGATACCAATAGGAGCAATCCTTATAACGTAGTGAAGTGAAGCAGTAGTTTTATGCAGCCTTCTACACTATGTCTTCAATGTTGGAGACTTCTCGTGTCCTCTGTCGTGATATAGCTGGAATATTACTGGAAATTGCGCAAAACCTCACTCACTCACAGGGGTAACATCTGTATCCATATATAATGTATGTATACTACCCATCAAAGGTTTAGACTCACGTTAAGCACTCATTATATGTTATGTATATATGCGGTTACATCAAAGAGGGGTGGTGGGGTAGCCTAGTGGTTAAAGCGTTGGCTCGTCACGCCGGATACCCGGGTTCGAATCTCCACATGGGTACAATTTGCAAAAGCCATTTCTCGTGTCCCCGTCGTGATGTTTATCGAATATTGCTTAAAAGCGGCGTCAAACCAGTCAGAACATCAAATATGAATTTCTCAACTAACTTAGGGGAACCATCTACAAACCTCATGCAGATGAACTGCACGAGGATCATGCATCGATTTTCTGAAAAGCATGTGCAAATATCGTGCATGTGAACAGCTGCGTTTTGGTGTTAAGAACGAAGAAGTTTTGTTAAGAATTTGCCAATTTTCACTTAGTTTCATGATTTATTAAACTCGTTTTGGTGTTAAGAACGAAGAAGTTTTGTTAAGAATTCGCCAATTTTCACTACGTTTCATGATTTATTAAACTCATGAAAATAATGTTTGCAACGTTACGAATTTATTTTACAATACATCAGTTCACGTGTAAACAGTACCTTTAACATTATGGAATATTTTGCAAAATCTAGTTTAGAACAGTTGCCTGAGGTAAGTGGCTATATTTACACTAGTGAGTCTAAACTTGTGATGGGTTGTATATGTTCAACATGTTCTGCTACAACAGCTTTCAAGAGAGACAAGAAATATAATAATAATAATCATATAAACATGCATACATACTTCGCTATATTTCTTGATAAATTCTCCCTCCGTGACCTTGCCATCGCCTGCAACAAGAATGTCAAGAATGTCAAGAAGAATGTGCACAGGAGTGGCTTGGCTGTCTTATCTGCACATTGTATTGTATTTGCCAGATAGAGATGTGTCGAAGCAAATCTGTATAATAATTGTTAATGTGAAATATCTGCAGAGCAAATGTGCTAGTGACTATACGCTGATGAAATCTGTGATCATCCGTTTTATTTAGTACAAGATATTGTATACATGCCAAAGAAAATAAAAGTACTTCTGAATGATGCATACATACTATAAGCTATATTATGTTATACTATGATCGTTCAGGAATGGGGCATTAGGGGTAGCCTAGTGGTTAAGGAGTTCGCTCTTAACGCTTGAAGACCCGGGTTCGATTCCCCACATGGGTACAATGTGTGAAGCCCATTTCTGGTGTCCCCGCCGTGATATTACTGGAATATTGCTAAAAGCGGAATAAAACAAAACTCACTCACTCGTTCAGAACAAAGCCGACATAACCCGGTACATAGGAAATGTTGTCTGACGACATGCCACATGCTGTTTCAAGACATACCGTCGGCGTCAGAAGCTGCTAAGGATGACAGGCAATTCTGAAACGTCAACAAAGCCGTCACTGTTGGGGTCGACGAGGGGCGAAGAGGGCAGCTGGTCCTTTCCCCGTGCCTCCAATTCCCTTCTGGTATTCAGGCAAAGGACACCTTGCCGTCCTCTGGAATGTCAGATTGTAATGTCGTAATCTCGATAACGGACCTACCTTTAGATAGACCTATGTGCAGTCAACCCGATTAGAAACTGTGACCGCCCGAACTTCTCTGGGCTCATGACTAACTTAACGAGTAACAGCGCCACAAAACAAAAAGAAAACCAAGAAAAAAATAGAGTTACACCTTCATTCAACGAGTTGGCTCACGAATGATTTGAATAAAGGGGGGTAACTCTCAAGCATTCTTGTTGTGGCACACCGCCCATACACAGTCTTTGAAAGAAATGCACTGGTTCTCTTCTAAGAGCTTCAACCTGTGAACAGTCATCGGAAATGTCTACGTTTACTTCCCTGTTGGTTTCTACGTACTGTTCAGATCGTCTTGGAGGACGACGGCCTTGAATTCGGGGAGGTCGAGAATCTTGTTCTTGTTAGTGTCGATAATTTGCTCGAAGATATTGGTAAAGTTTCTGCAAATGATAGAACCTTCTATATTGTCAACCTCAAACAATAAATTCTTTAATATGAGGGCACCACAGGTTACCTAGTCGTCTAAGGACAGAGAGAGTTATGCCCAGTAGGCGGTCAAAGAATCCGAAGACGTGGGTTTATATCCCAGATTATTTCTGATGCTACCTGGTTCGTCACCTCCAGATCCATTCTCGTAAGTTACAGCAACTTGTTCACTGCCGCACACTTTTATCACTCTATATAACTGATAAAACGGGTACTATAATACATATATCAATTACCAAAAAATACCTACAATTGAACTGATGTAACTGATGCTAATAATACTCACATCTATTATCAGGAAATGATACCAACAAACTGCACAGCGGCATATATCAAACTGTTGTTATTTTCAGTAATATATTGCAAAAATTTAACTGACGTCATGTTTAAGAGATTTTACGTTTGATTTAACCCTTGTCCAGCACACAGACCGACGAACGCCAAGCAGATGAGAAGAAGCATGGTTGTTTCTGTGAAAAAACTAACATTGAAATATAAAAGCTACACAACATGTTAATAAAAACTACAAAACGTACAGATAAAAACTACAAAACATGTACAAAATATAAGCTACAAAATACTTTCCATAATGACACATTGTATGTATCAGATTACCTTTTTAAAATGATGCAAGTGCAAAATTTTAACCCGTTTTAAAATGATGCAAGTGCAAAATTTGAATTTACCCCCAAATTGAAAAGGTGAAATCAAGCATTATAGCCAAACATATTGCCAATTTCAATACAACCTTCCTTATACGCGAGCCGCCTCCGTGGTGTAGTGGTTTAAGCGTCCGCCTTGAGAGCGGTATGTCGCGGGTTCGATCACCGACCGTGTCATACCAAAAGACGTTAAAATATGGTACTTGTTGGTCCCTGCCTTGCGCTCGGCATTAATGGGTACAACAAGGACTGGTCGACTCGGAGTCAGTATAGTGTGTCTGAGTGGGGTATTCATGCTTCACTGCGGCATGGTATCTCAGTGGGCTAGCACTATAAAACCATCTTCAGTCTGGGTTAGTACAAGCAGCCGCACATACACATACACACGCATGCACGTCATATGAGCGAAATATTCTCAAGTACGACGTTAAACCCAATTTCACCTCACCTCACCTCGCAGATAATGAAATAGCATAAGAACCATTTTGGGATCCCAGGGAATATGAAATGATAATAAACATTACTGACCATGTTCTCCCGGCATACCACTAAATTAATAAAAAGGCACGACAGCAAGGGAATAAATACAAGTTGATGATTTTACACATGCACCATATTTTTAAATCCATTTGTCCGATCGTCCTGAGCAAACCAACGTGAGTCGGAGAATTCTTACTGTTCAAATATCACAATGTCACGAAGAGATCTTTTCAAAAACCCAGTAGCTGAAATGGACTTCGTGCAATTCTTAGCTTAGCTTTTAAATATGTTGTGGTTTCACGTTCAGAATGCTCACGTGTTGAAAGAACAAACACTGATCCTAATTCACGTAAAAACGTGTTCTGATAACGTTCGTGAAGATTTTAAACAATTCTTAAATTTGCATTCTTCTGGGTCTGATAATGTCTATCACACCTTGTTCCTTGATGGGGCGGTGGGGTAGCCTAATGGTTAAAGCGTTGGCTCGTCACGCCGAAGACCCGGGTTCGAATCCCCACATGGGCACAATGTGTGAAGCCCATTTCTGATGTCCCCCGCCGTGATGTTGCTGGAATATTGCTAAAAGCGGCGTAAAACCAAACTCAGTCAGTCCCTGTTCCTTGGTGTACAAGCGCAGGTGTGATTTCTGATCGAGTGAATAACGTAATCCGTCTGTCGGGTCTGACGATTATTTAAAAACAGCCGCAATATATCCAAGATATTTTTATGGATTAGACTTCTTCTTTTTAAATTTCTCTCACGATGTTTCATGTAGGGCTGGGACGGGTAGGAAATAATGGAATCGAGTACCCGCATGTACTTACCCGAATCGGAATCGAGTACCCGGAAATGTAGGGAATACAGCGCTTCTGTCAACTGTCTGAATATTCAATCACGAGTTGACAGAGATTATTATAGAAAACTCGAAAAGATGGCAATTAGACATCTGCTTAACCAATATAGAGAGTAACACCATTACTTACATTCATCGTTAAAACACAGAACTTTCCGTTCCCGCTGTTACTCATGCGCAGATATATTACAGTCGTTAATAATAACCTTCATTAATCGGACAATACCAATGATGTAAATGAGTGTTGCGTCAATTATGAAAAAGACAAGTTATTATCTGCCCTTGTCATTACAGAGTTCTCTCCCTTTCCGGGTACTCGATTCCAATAAATAGGACTCGATTCGATCTGTACCCGACCCGGATTCGAGTACCCGAGTACCCGTCCCAGCCCTAGTTTCATGACCATTCCAGGTCGCTTCATCAGGTGAACTGGCAGTTATTTAGTCCTAACTGCCAGTTCACCTGATGAAGGGACCTGGAATGGTCTCGAAACGTCGTGAGAGAAATTAAAAAAGAAGAAGTCTAATCCATAAAAATATCTTGGATATCAATGTACAACTTCTAAATGCCACTGAAAGACAGCCGTCATATAGCTGGTATATTCCTGAGTGAGGCGTTAAACAGCAAACAAAACAATTCGTGGACCAGAATTTAATACGTGCAATTGTATGTCACATAAAATCTGGCACACACGTCGCACGCTGAGACCCAAACATAACACAGTACAGAATATTATAGTACTTGACATTCTGCAGGTTAGGAGTTGGTGAAAGATAACTGTTCCCGAAAATGCTTGAAAACAATTTGTTCCCAGGTGAATAAGATAAAATAACATACGAATTACGTGTAGTTCATTCATGCAGGCCAGATATATACCACAATAACAGAGGGTTGAAGCTATTTCTTACCTTTTGAATAACGATTTCACAAATGAAACTAGGCACAATGACTCAGACCTTTTAAACATGTATCTGGTCACGAGACAGTCATTATCAGATTGCAAGTTGTCCCTTCCCAAAGATGACGTCCACGTGACCACATGGTGCAAAAGTTGGTGAACCATGTGCAAAATTTTTCCATATTTCGTATCATATTCAAATTTCTATCACCACACGAAGGAACAGTATTTCCCAAATGTATTTGCGCTGGGGAAAGAGCGTTTAATAACAATAATACGAAATGTTGGGGTACAAGGATCAACTTCTTGTGCAAAAAATGGTCTTAGAAGAGGCTAAAACATATCACCGCAACCTCTCCATGTGCTGGATTGACTCAAAAAGGCGTACGACTCTGTCCCTCATGAATGGATTTTGAAGTCTCTTCATTGTATTGACCTACCTGAGCGACTACTTGATTTACTCAAGTCTTTAATGAGTTGCTGGTCGACTCAACTTGAGATGTACTTTTAAGGGCAGGTGCACACTTCAGAATCTATTCCAATCAGAACGGATATATTCCAGGGGCACTCCTTCAGTCCTTTGCTCAATGAAGAGTTGGGTTACCATCCCGTACCCCCTCAGCACAGATCCCAAACCCCGCTTACTCATCTTCTTAACATGGATGACATCAAGCTCCTTGCCAAAGGAGATACCAATTTGAATGCGCAGGTTCTCATGTCGAGTCCTTTTCTAATGACATTGGCAGGGCATTTGGACTCGACAAATGTAATACTCTTCATTTAAAACGTGGCTAGGTAATTAATGATGGATCGGTCAAGTTACAAGTGGGAGGTGTTATTGAGCATTCTGTGGAAGACCAAGCCGACACCTATCTTAGGATGCAAGTTCGAGACAAGCTCCAGAATGCCCAGATTCAAGACAAACTTCGGGCCGAATATAACTCGCTTTAAAAAATCTGGAGCTCAGAGCTAAATGCTTGAAATAAGGTCAAAGCCACCAATACTTTTGCTGTGTCAGTCCTTTCCTATTCCTTTGGAGTAGTTGATTGGACAAAACAATCAATTCCAGAGGATGGGATTTGGTTAAAGTTGAGGCTGTTCATGGTAGAATTTTAATGTGTACTTTTGCACGCACGCACGCACGCACGCACGCACACACACACACACACACACACACATATTTATTGGATGATCCTCTGGTGATGCATGTCAAGACTCATTATGAAAGCAGGGAATTCCAAAGATGTTTTAAGCGTGCCAAGGTCGTTGGACAAAATCTGAAATTTGAGGTTGAGTTTGTTAATGGCAATGTACTGCTGGACGGTACAGCGATGGGAGTAAACCAGGTAAAGTCCCTTCACCAAGTCTGCCCAGAGTCGGTCACTTGTGGAGAAACATTCTGAGAAACCATTGCATCGTATGTACATGCAGTGTGTGGAAAAGAACACCAATCCAACCGACTCCTTCGCCTGGATGAAGTCGGCTCGTCTTAAATTTGAAACAGAGGGCTTTCTTTTTGTTCTCGGTGCCCTTGGTTTGGTACCTCCTGATCTCTTGGTGCAGATCAGGAGAGCGACCAGGTTCTCCAAAGGGAGCA